ACTTGAAAAATTATACCTTTGTGAGCAGAATTGAAACATTTATCTTTTTTCTCCCTACCTGATCCCTCCAGAATTTGGAAACTCTTAGTGAGTGAATATTCTTATTTTCGTGGCAATATAGTTATTTGCATAAGTTCAATAAGAATCTGTTCTCCTTATAACAGGACACAATTGGAAACATTGGTTATATTGCCAAAGCTTTGACTGGAATGTCATATTTGCGAGAGACATGCATAGACTCAGATATGACCAAAACAGCTTTAAGGGACAAAGATTGACTTTATAAAACAAATAAAGCCAGTTGGAAATACTGGCCTGGCAACTTGCTTACAGGGTTCCCATCAACCATACCAGGTGAGTAAAGGTTACTTCCTGGAAGATGCGAAGAACCTCAGGACATTTTGGGGACTTTGAGAAGAGAGGAATTCACCCAAATCTAAGGTACTGCAGGCAGAGTCTGATAAAAAGTCCTTGGCTTTCCTGACCTCAAGAGGCCTTTGAAATTCAATCTGAGATATCTTATGAAAAGTTCCAGCAAAGCAGATTTAAAAGAGCCTACGTGATCACCTGCTCCTGTTGTTGTACTATGTAAATAATTGGGCCAAGTTCATTGAAACTAGACTTACTTTACAAACTAATGAGTCTTCATTTGGCTATCTTTGGTAAAAAAAAAAAAAAAAGAAAAAAAAAGAGGGTGATTTTAGAGAGAAAAATTGTTTCAGTAGAAACTACAATATTAGATTTCAGTTCTGTTAATTGTCTTTGAGGTTTTTGTTTCCTATCTGTAAACTGAACTGGATCCTGAATTCTTCTAGTCTCCTGAAATTTCTGGCTAAAAATTTCCTAACTAATGTTTTCAATTTTTTCCAACATTTTCACTTGGAATCATTGAGAACTGAAACCACCCTTGTTCCTGAAGCCTTGCAAACTGAAGCTGGGCAACCTGATACAAACTTCAGAGAGATCACCACGATAGCCCATCCTGAGACAGTCTGCATACCTGCTACTGTGTCAGCCCCTCAAAAGGATACCGAACGCTCAATGGCATCATCAGCGACTTCTCAAGATGCAAGAGATGCTTCACCCTGACATCTAGAGATCTTCTTGACTGGCTGTCCCCTGGGCTCAGAAACTGGGTTATAATTTGCTCCAGCCATTTAACCTTGTTTTTCTTTTTGTTTGCATAAAAGTGCTTATTAAATCCCTGATTGCTTGCTTATACATCATAGGCCTAACTTTGGGAGCCCACCTGAATCACTGCCTCCTGAAATGAATTTAACTGGACTGACCTGTCATCAGAACTAAGAGACCAGTTCATGAGATGGAAACAACCTACCAACTCAGCTTCTGGACTGTGAAACTTCTTAACATTTCCAAGCTGGGACTGTGGGGGATCATAATCTGCCACCCCAAAATGTGTCTCTTTGGCTTGATTATTTATTTATTTTCTGCTGAGGAAGATTCACCTGGAGCTAACATCTGCGGCCAATCTTCCTCTTTTTGTATGTGAGCTGCCACCACAGCATGGCCACCGACAGATGAATGGTGTAGGTCCATGCCTGGGAGGGAACTGAACCCGGCCGCCAAAGTGGAGTGTGCCAAACTTAACCACTAGGCCACGGGGGCTGGCCCTGGCTTGATTATTTTTAAGGACAAAAGACTCTGAAAGAAACTTTGACCTTTCCCCTAACTGCCTAAAAGAATTCAGGGTAGAAACCCTGGCCCAGGACAGGCCGTCACCATGGATAACTCTGGGTGTGGTAGTCTGGGAGGACCCTTGCGAAGCCCACTCTCGTCAAAGTTCTCTCTCAGGTCACACTGTCTATAGGTGGCCCAGCAAACACTTGTTTACCAAACATTTGCATTTTCATCTCCATGTGAACTGCCTTCCTCCCCTTTGAAGTCCCAAATCACTACCCCCAACACCCTTTTCTGTCCTTAGCTGAAAATGGTATTTAAGGTGGCGGCTTCCGCCATTTTGGTGAGTTACTCAGTTTTCCTGGGTGTCTCCTATGTATCCATGTTATTAAACTTTGTTTGATTTTCTCCTGTTATTCTGTCTCCTGTGAATTTAATTCCTAGACCAGCCAGAAGGACCCAGAGGGGAGAGGAATAATTCTTCCTCCTCTACACCAACAAGGTGGGCAAAAGAGAACTCCTCCTTTCCTGCCCCAAACCTGCTCTTCCCCACGTCAGTTAATAGCATCCCACCCACCCAGCTGCTCAAGCCCTTGTATCTAAGGTCCTTGATTCCTCGTCCCTCCCTCCTACATTCCAGCCAATGGCAAGTCCCAAAATGTTTCACAGAATCTTGTCCCACTCCCAATTCATCCTGACCATCCTGACCTGGCCACCACCTCCCCTGCCTGGACTGTCGTAGTGGCCCCCGCGTCTCCTGCATCACTCTCGCCCTGTATAATTCGTTCTTCTGCAGAACAACCAGAGTGTGCTTTTAAAATGCAAAGGAGATCATGTCCATTCCTACTTAAAACCTTCTAAAGGCTTTCCGCCTACTTAAAATGAAATCCAGAATCTGGCTTTCAGAACCCTACAGGATTTGGCCCGGGTCTGCTTCCCCAACCTTGGCTCTTTCTGCTCCCTGCCCGGACCCTGCCCACCATACTCTCGCCAAGTTAGTGGCCCTTTGGCTCCTTTCGCCAGCAGTGCCCTCTGCCAGGAGCACTCGCCCCTTGCTCTTCAGGGGGCTGGCAGCTTCCTGAGAGTTAGCGGTCAACTTATGAGCCTGGGGTAGAACCAGTACCTTGAAGATGCTGTTTCTGCTCCCCCACCACCACCTGGCCACCCCACTTACAAACCACACACATTTCCAGGCAAGCCTGACAATCTCTAGACTTGGGGAAATTTTAAAAATACCTAACTCTCTTATTTTAGCCTGGGTGACAGAAGACTGAGTATGCCCAGGGTGAATTAGCCACTCTGCCAACCAACTGTCCTCCCACTGGGTGCGGCCCCCCCCTCAGTCTGCTTCCCACCTGCCTCCCAACTCCTCGTCCTCATCTCCGTGCCAGGGCCCACCGTCCCCCTCCCCTGCCCATCTTCCCCAGTCTACTGTAAGCAAGCTGGAGGCAGAGCCCTCGGCTGAGAGCACTTGGCAACCCCGCAGCCCCCTGGAGAGGCCTGCACAGAGTGCGGACGCATCAGCCAGCAGCAGTGCTGAGAACAGGAGCGCTGAGAGCAGGCTGACTGTTAATTGAACAATGAGAGGACTACTCAGAAGTAGTCGCCGCAGCTACGAGATGGTCACTCGGCAGCTGCAGCCTCGGGGAGCTGGTTCAGGGCTGTTCAGCTGTAGTCCCAACAGGGTGCCCATCAAATGCTTTAAACACCTGAAACATCTTCAAACATCCTCTCTACGCCCCCGGAATCAGAACCTCTGGGCTAGAGGCCCAAGAATCTGTATTTTCCAAAAGCACCTCCAGTAGGTCTAGTGTCTTGGGAATCACTTGCTCTAGGGCAGTGTTGCCCCAAACCTGCTCGATGATGTGAACCCTGCCCCAGGATGCCTGTGTTAAATATACAGATTGTGGGCTTCTCCTCTGGACATTCTGACTCACAACGTCTGGGCTGGGCCCAGGAATCTGATTTTCCTTTTTGAAACCCAGCACCCCAGGTGAGTTCTATCATCAGGGCCTAGTCCTGTGGATGCTTCAGACCTTCTGCCTTCTCTCAAACCCAGAGTCCCACCCCACGCCCCTCTCTCTAAGCAGCTGGCCTCATGCCCCACAGAGGCTGGCCACCAGCAGAACCCTCACTCTTCCACGTCACAGACTTGTGGAGTCCTCGCGCCCCCCGCCCCCCAGCTCCACGGGCCAAGCCGTCCTCACTGGGCTCAGCACTTCCTTCCGCACCGCTCACCCCCTCCCCCTCCCGGGCCTCCCCCACTCCATCACTCTGACAGTGCTTCCTCCCCTGCCTACATACAGGCTCACACCACCCAACTCGTGTCACACAAAACTGCCTTCAGCTCAGAAATATTTGTAATGTCCATGCTACCACTTCCCACCTACCTCTCACCCTCAAACTCTGGAGTTTGGCTTCTACCCTCCCTAACTCCCATGGACGTTGAATAGAAATTTCTTTCTTGAAGGTCATCAACCAGCACAAGGGCCAAATCCAAGGGCCTTTCTTGGGGCTCAAGATCTTTGGTCTCCATGGCCCCAACATTATTTCCCACCTCCCACTCCACTAGAAACTCAACCCAAGGAAGCACTTTCTGACAGTGGATTGGGCTGCCTGGAAAGGTAGTGAGTTCCCAGTCACTGGAGGTATTTAACAGATCGTGGATCCCTTGGAAGGGCTATTACAGGGGTGATTCAAGCCCTGGTGGGAGGTTGGGCTAGATGACCCTACAGGAGTCTATAATCTGGACCCCTTTGTCATAGATGGTGACATGGACACACAATGGGGCAGAAATCTTCAGCCCTTACTCAGGCCAGGCCTCCTGCTTCCCAGGCAGAGCAGTTCCTTGAAGCCCGTCCTACATGCCAGTCTGGCCACTTAAGAATCAGCTGGGAGAGCTTCAGAATGCAAATTCCCAGGCCCCAGCCCAGCGATGGTGACTCGAAAGGCCATTGTGTCCCCGGCCTCCCCTAGCCACAGGGCTCCGACCAGCTGGGCACCAAGGGGAAAAAGAGGGGACCAAGGCCCGCACCTGCTTCTCTCATACTCCTGGCAGGCTGACGGCTGGGATCTGCTCCACACACAGCAGTAGCCACCTCCTAAAGCCCCTTCCTTTTATGGGAACAAAATCAGAGGCCCAGAGAGGGGAAGAGACTTTTCCAAGATCACATGGGCAGGCTCCATCTACGGGATTTCCATCCCTTCCCCACCAGCATCTCTCTCCTCTCCTCTCTTCCCTCTGCTCCTACCTTCCCACCCTGTCGGCACAGTCCAGTCCCGAGCAAATGTCCTGGGGCAGTGGGAGAGCCAGGAGAGAATGCTTCTCCTGCACCTTCAAGAAGTGAAAGGAGGCCACTTACCACATTGATGAAAACCATGGTGGCTGGCTTCACTTTTGAGGAGATGGGGATGGAAATAAGCCGACCCAGAGTGATGAAGCCCCAGAAGAGGCTGGGGAGGTAACCGGCCACCTTGTGTCCCACAGACAGGGGTTTCTCCACTGCATAGCTGTACACGAAGGCAGAATATGCCCCCTGTGGAGAGACAGGCCCTGCTGAGCACGCCTGCAGACCACACCTCTCAAAGGAAGCCGAGGCTGGGGCAGGCGTGCTATGGGCGCGGGGAGGACTGTCCTGCTCCTAGAGGCTCAGCAAAGGGTGAGCTGAGACACAGCTCCACACACAGGCCTGAGCTGAGAACAGACCCTGGGGTGCCACAGCTGCGGAGGTCTGGGGGTTCCAGGGAGGTGTCTCTGGATCTCCCCAGGGAGTCCCGAGGGATCTGGCATGCAAGCGTTCCACCACGCCTTCTGTATGAGGATTCCACAGAAGGTTTTTTGTTGAAGGAAGGTGCCGCAGCTAAACAACGGTGTGCACACGCATCCCACATTACAAACGAGGGCAGGGAGAAGTCACTTGCCCAAGGTCACCCTGAGAGCTGGAAGTCAACCAGTACCGTCACGAGCACTTCCCACCAGGTCATCTAAGTTTTTTCTGGCCTTCTCTTTGGAGAGTCCCTCATATGGCAATCAGTTAGTCAGCCATTCAAAACTGTCTTAATCTAATCCTAAGAGATTTCTGGAAACAGGCACTAAATAGGGCCCAGGTCCTGCCTGCAGCTTGTTTACATTGCGGCTTGAGAAGCCCAGGATTGGAGTGAGTTCCAGGAAGCCGAGTGCCCCGAGGTTTATTTGGAATGACCTCTACTTGAGGGGACAGGGCTCTGCTCCTTTGAAAAAGCGTGGGGAGCCTGTCCTCAGCAACAAACCAGGCAGGCCCCCATCCAGAGTCAACAAAAATGAAAACAAATGGCCGGGACAGAAGGCCATAGGCTCACGGGGCTGTGAACGAACTGGAGACAGTCTTCCCCGGGACTTTTATTTAGTTTGAATTTCCAAGTTGACTGTAAGACATGTGAGGTCTCTAGGAAACCTGGGTGCTCCTCCTTCCCCTCACCGTCCCCAGACTCGAGCTTGATAAGGGCACCCTCCGAACGCAGGCTCACCGTCATCCCATCGGTCATGAACAGGACCAGGGCGGCTGTGATGTGGATGGCAAAGAAGGAATACGGGGCTCCTTTGAAGTTCTTCCTCTGGCAGCAGCTGAACAGGTCCCCGTGCCCTGGGTGAGACACAGGAACAGGGGTGAGCCTCAGCTACTGCTCCCTTCACTCTGCACGCCCAGAGGAAGTGGCTGAATGAAGAGCCCCGGCAGGATCGGAGACCCCTCACTACCTCCCACCTTCTCTAGCTTCCAACCATCTGTTAGGGACAGCCCCTCCACATCTCATAGTCCTGGTGGAAGCAAGGCTCAGAGAGGTCAAGTAACTTGCCCACACTGACACAGGTGGGGTTAGGCAGAATGGCGGTTGGAGCCAGAAGTCTGCCTTCCTCATTCTCCTGGCCAGGTTGCTCCATCTTCTGCCTCAGGAGACCATTAAGTGCCAAGGTGTTTTTTTCCAACCATTATCACCTGTGATCTGCGTTCAGCCTGGGGGTGGGGTCCTAGGGAAGCCTCAGTGTGGGGCTGTGAGCACAGAAGCTCACGAGAGCCCCTACCTTGGTGGGGCTGACACTTTGGGGGCAGCGAGGAAGCGTCTTCCTTCTCAGGAGGCTGCGTCTCCAGGGCGAGCTCGTCCGCAGACAGGAGCAGGGGCCTCCTCTGAGGGCAGCAGGTCAGCAGCCGCTCTTTGGACAGCAGAAACAGCACCGCCAGGGGCACCGGGAGCTGGAGGTGAGCAGCGGTCAGGAGAGCCCTGTTCCCACCGGGCTCCCCCTCCCACGCCAGGCCCACTGCTTCCACCTCCACACAGGTGTAGGGCACGCACAGTGTCTGCGCAGTCCTGGGAGAAGACAGCTCTTTCCTATGGGGGCCACCTAAGAGCCATCCCCAGCTAATGCAGCCAGGTGCCTTGACCCGGGGCAGGCTGGTGCAATTGCTGCCCCATCTTAACCACATCCGCCTCCCTGGGACAGGTACTCATCACATGCAAAGCTTGGCCTCGTGCCGTACCTCTGCTGGCACCTCTGCTGGCACAGGAGAAGTGCCAGAGGCTAACTCATTTCTAACGGCCTGAACAGCGCTGGCGCTGGCTCCCACCCTTCAGGCTGTGAGACCCCGTGACGATTTACAAACTTTTCATTTTGTTCATCGCAGCTCTATAAAATGTGCTAGGCAGAATTACCCTCATTTTCCAGACGGGGCAAATGAGGCTCACAGTTGTCACTTAGTCATCACCTGTTACAACTGGAAGAGACCTGAGCAGTAAGCTGGAGGCCCAGAGCGTTAGCACCCAGTCACACGGCGGACGCAGGGCAGGGCTGGACTGGGGCCCAGGCATCCCACAGCTGTGGGTGCCGTCTCCACCTGAGGGGCTATCTGGGGCACTATACCCGAGGAAGGCACAGCGACTGTCCTCAGGGGCTGTCTGGGTGACATTACCCCCCGGGAGGGCACAGAGGCTGTCCTCAGGGGCTGTCTGGGTGACATTACCCCCCGGGAGGGCACAGAGGCTGTCCTCAGGGGCTGTCTGGGTGACATTACCCCCCGGGAGGGCACAGAGGCTGTCCTCAGGGGCTGTCTGGGTGACATTACCCCCCGGGAGGGCACAGAAGCTGCCCTCAGGGGCTGTCTGAGTGATATTAACCTCTGGGAGGGCACAGAGGCTGTCCTCAGGGGCTGTTTGGGTGATATTACCCCCCGGGAGGGCACAGAGACTGTCCTCAGGGGCTTGGTGTCTGGAAAACAGAGACATGGGCTCCTTTTGATTGAAAAAATGCCAGCTACAAGCAACACGCACACACAAGCTTAAGGGTCCGCTCACTGCCATTTACCTCAAGCCGCTTAGGCCTTCCGAGCTCCCCAGAGCCCCGCGGACGCCTCCTGCTCCACCGCCCCCCAGGGCGCCCTGCCGGCACTGACCCCCCTCGCTGCCAGGAAGCGCCTCACGCCTAACCTCTGAACCTCTGCCCTTCCTGCTGCACCCCCCCCCCCCCCCCCCCCGTTCCTCCTGCCTAGGAAAGAGAGGGAGCCTGGGGCCCGCAGAAGCTTCCCAGGCTGACAGGCTTCTCTGGGCTCACAGGCAGAGCAGCGGGGAGACATGGAAGTCAGCGCACTGCCAGCCCCTGCCTGGTGCCGCTCAACAGGAGCCTCCCCTTCGCCTGGAGCCAGGCTGGCCCATCCGGGCATTTCCCCATGCCCCCGCCCTATCGCTCCTCTGTGGGCACCTTGGGAGCCTCGTCCACACTCCAAAACAAGTTAAAATCAGACCTCCTTCCCCTCAGTGGCCTTAGAGACACAAAGTGGGCCTGAGTGGGAGGAAAACAGCCCTGCCCTCAGGAGTCCCGGGTCTGAAGGGGGAGACAAGCCCTCCCTCCAGTCTGATGGGGGAAACAGGAAACCCACATGCAGAGGCCTGCAGTGGCAGAGTGCCCGGGTGAAGGCCAAGGGGAAACAGCTGTACAAGAGGCGATCGCTCAGGTGGGGCTTTCCAGGGAGACGGCCAGGGGGAAAGGCTTCACAGGGCATTGGCTTGCGGGGCGCAGGAACACACACGATCAGCATAAGAAGCCCATTCAGGGAGGCAGAATGCCAGGTGGGCTGTGCCTCTGTGTGGGTGGGGGTGGGTGTGTGAGCACGTGTGCAAGTGCGTGCCCACATGCATGCACAGCGCCATTCTCTTCTGTGCTGGAGTGTTTATCTTCAGACACAAACCAATGGAAACAGCCCGGAAACCCTGCAGCAAACACAGTGCCTGCAGTCTGCACCTTGTGGGGCCGAGCAAACAGCCCTCAGGCTCAGGCTGGGCCTTCCGGTTTCCCGGTCCTGGAGGCACAGCCTTGACACTGCACCAACAGTGCTCCTGCCCTACGCTGGTCCCCTTGGAGGGCACAGGCCCCAAAGTGGGCCTGGCAGAAAAGGGAAGGAGCAGAGGGAGAGGGGTGTGTTTTTGAGAGGCCCCAGCGAAGATTCTGCTACAGAAGTTACAAAGGAGAAGAAAGAAAGGAAAAATGAGCAGTGACCATGGGGCGGCAGGGTGGAGGTTTGTGCGGGAGTCAGGGTTCCGGCCCGGCCCTGCCTCTTGCTAGGCCCGATCAGGGCCCCAACTGAGCCGGTGTCACCCTGCTGCTCAGTGGGCCTGGGTGGTCTCAAAGGCCCCTTTCACGCTGCACATGCGGCATCACTGAGGCCCAGCAGTAGCTGGGCAGGGGGTAGTGCCTGAGCCCAGGCTGCCTGCCTCTGGACAGCTGATGAGTTGGCCTGGTGCAACAAGAGGCTCTTAAGTCAGGGTGGCAAGCTGTGCGGTGCCTCCATCCCGCAGCCAGGCCAGCACTCCCCACCCCAGCCCACCCTGCGCCCAAGCCAGGAGGCCAGGGCTGGTCCTGTGTTCATAACAGTCCTTCCCAAGCTAGAGGGGGGAGAGCAGAACCCACCACCCTCTGGCTGCAGCCTGGGCTAATGTAGGGGAACTCCTCTTGGGTTGCAGAGTGCCAGAGGAGGTTTCCAGAAGGGATCCGAGTCAGTGCTGACGTGGCAGGGGAGGATGAGAGCCAGGGGTACAGAGGGGCCTCAGTGAGGGGCCCAGTCACGGTGAGGTGGTCTCTCTGCTCTGCTCCCACCAAGGCAGCCTTGGCAGGCAGGGTCATCTCGCGTCTATCCCCCGGCTCACAGGAGCCCACCTCATAGCAGGCACAGGGGACTCCCACCAGAGACTGAGGGTCCCAGAGAGGAGCGTGACACGGCCTGCAGTGCTCCCAGCTCTGCTTCATCTGACCTGGGAGGAAAAGAGCTGGTTTCCCATGGAGCCTCAGACGGCCTGAAGGCTGGCCCTGATGTCATTGTGCTAAACCTGCTCAGGCACTGCTCTGCCTGCCTTACAGTCTCGACCACAGGAAGTCACGACTGAAGAACCTTCCGGATGATCGCTCACCACCCTCTTAGTGTGCAGATGAATCCCTGGGGGTCAGTTCTCCCCTCTGCTTGCCTTCCTGAGGGCACACCTCAGCCCCAGCACCTTGCTCAGAATCAGAAGACTCTGCACTGGGAGCTCATATGGACAGGTATGTGTGACTGTCCCCACCCAGCCCTGTCCCATTGGCACTCACATTGATCAGGGCCATGATCCAGAAGGCATAGGACACACGGGTCCCTGCCCCGTCCTGCGGGGGTGGCCCAGGGAGCGACTGGTTAGACCAAGGCCGTGCGTCAGCATGGTGCTGGCCCAGGACCCGGGATGCATGGAATAGGTGGCTGCCGGAGCTGGCGTTGGCTGTGTTATTGGCAGGCAAACAGCTGGCCTCAGACAGGAAGGGGTCCGCGATAAGAGGGCTCAGCAGAGCCCCAAAGCCCACAAAGAAATGGAGAACCTGTGGAGGGAGGAGAAGTGGAGGGTGGGGGATGGCTCAGGCTTTATCCCCCACGCCCTGTGTCCCATCTGGGGCGCCCCCGCCTCGCTCCAGCGTGGGGAGCAACAGGGAGCGGGAGGCGGGAGAGGGGAGGGAGGAAGCTCCTCTCAGCCACCTTCCTAGCCTGGGTAACTTGGTGACAGTGGCCAACCCCTCCTTCACTCTCCCTTCTTTCCCAAACCTTAACCCCTGACGGGCTGTTCCCATGTTAGTATCCACCACCTCACACCCCAAAGGCAAGTGGGCTTTAATAAAGAGAAAGGCTGAACAGGTAAGTGGGAGGAGAAGGAAGGAAGAAGAAATAAGATGACAGCGAGCCCTCCCATCACGCCACTTCCCAGTTCACGAAGAACCTCCTCTCATCAGCATGTGGCCTCCGGTGGCCACCCTGCAGTGCCGGAGGGGTCATCGCCCCATCCGAGAGATGAGGGGACTCAAGTCCAGAGAAATTGAGCGACTGCCCAGGGGTCCCAGGTGGGCATGGCCACACTCAACTGAGACCTTGGTGCTCTTTCTCAGTCACCACCCCGGCCCAAGGAATAGATACTTAGCCCCAGGGAGAGGGCCGAGATGGCGGGGGCTGGGAGAGACAGACAGAGCCCAGGGAGCTCCCCGTGCCCTCCCCCCGCCCGGCCCCACTCCCGCCACGGGCTGACCTGGAGGAAGACGGCCGAGTCCTTCTGGTACATCCTCACCAGCTGCATGTTGGCCACCGTGTCGATGCAGCCCATGGCCAGGCCGGCCAGCGCCATGACGGAGGCCAGCACCTTCACGTCACGACAGAAGGGGATGACGGCAAACACCAGGGAGATGGCCAGAGAGGAGGTGAAGAGGGCCCATAATGACTGGGCCAGGCTGAGGAGCAGAGGGGTGAGGTCAGCGGAGGCGGCTGGCGCCCCTGGAACGCAGAGCCCCCTCTTTGTCCTCCAGTGGCTGAGCGGTCACGGGGAAGCTGAGACATCTCCGCCAGCCTCTGGTAGAAGCGGAAGGCGCTTTGGAAGAAGGCTGTCACTCATTAGCTACGGGCTGTGCGTGAGATGTCTGATATGTCTCGGTCTCCTCGGATAACAACCCCGACCGCACAGGTGGCTGTGAGAACTGAAGACACTCTGTAATGCCGTGCCACGGGCACCTCACAAGGCCCAGCTGCTATTATTTTACCCATAGGCAGGTTCTCATTGTTTTCTTAGACTTTGAATTGTTTACTTACAAACAATGCGCATCCCTCTCAGGGGATATTTCCATGCCTCTCAGGGATGGCGTGAGGGCAAGCTGCTTTGAGCATTGCAACGGAACAGAGTCAAATGCACGAGACTGGAGGTGGGACCTGGGATGGAACCTGGACCCAAAATTCCCCGAGCTGGGCTGCAGTCTGCCCTCCCCACGCAAGAGTGGAAAACGTCTGCAGGCACCAGGCCTGAGCTGCCTGAACCAAAGCGCACAGCCCAGGTATTTGGGTAATTTGGTGACCTCTCCATGGGCAGAGGTCTCGGGCTCTGTGCCTGGCAAGTGTCCAGAAGGAAGGCCCTGTGGCCGTCCCCACAGAGAAGTGTCTGAGTGGTGACCTTCCCCCCACCCTCCAGGAGCCCATAGCAGGCAGCTGAAGGCCTGCCCCACCATGAGTGATGACGGCCCGAGCAAATGGGTGCATGGAGTAGCTGAGGCTCCACCCAGTGAGCAGACGCTGAGACAGGGAGGGGGCCCTGGATCCTCTGGGACCAGTCTGAAAGGCAAACTGGGGCGGGGGTGGGCAGGGCAGGAGACTGGGTAGCAAGAAGGTGCTGGAAGGGAGGTTGTGGAGGAACTTTCTCAGACGATGAAAAGTCGGAAAGCCCCCACACCCTCCATCTGGCTACTGGACCTGGGTGTGGAGGTGCCTATGTGGCAGAAAGGCCTGTCTGAGTTTCCAGCACATTGAAGAAAAGAGGGAGGCCCCTAGGAGCCCCCAGGCTCTGCTACTTTTTTCCAGGAGATTCTTGCCTCTGACCCCCTGGGCTCTCAGCTTTCCATCTTGTCCCATCTTTGATTAAAATCCTTTATAGGAAGGGTTCTGCTGATAGCAACAGCTCGTTATTTTCTCTTTCTGCTTCCCAGGCTGATCTGCCGGGGAGATTACTGCCTGTCCCCAGCTCAGAGCTGTGAGGGGGAGGAGGGACTCACTTTACCCAGCATTGGGAGAGAAACAGGGGGGTGGTATTGTGGGAAGGCCTGTCATGGTCCCTCCCGACCCCCTCGTTCCTCTCGGCATCACTGCTCTGCCGGCCGAGCACGGACAGCCCGGGCTGCCCACTGAGTTCACGTGTTTCTGCTTCCCGCAAGCTGGGAGCCACGCCTCACTGCCCTCCGTGGCCCCGGCAGAGGAGAGGCCCACACTCTCCGGGCTGATAAAAACGGCAGGCTCTCACAGCAGCCCTTTTCCCCTTCTGTTCCTGCACAAAATAGACTAGGCAGTCTCCTGGGTGGCCTGACGTCAAGGATAGCAAAAGCGTCCCGTCTCCCCCTTAAACGTTCCCCCACTGACCCGGTACACGGACCTGACAGTCCCACCACCTCGCTCAGCACTGGGTGGTGAAGCACAGACGCACTAAGTCAAGGGCAAACACTCCTGTGAGAGTTTACATGTTATCGCTGTGGCCCTGGAGAGCTTGACAGTGGCTAACAAGCAGTCCGGTGGCAAAGTCCCGAGGGAACGGGGCCCGGGATCAGCAAACTGAGAGAGAAGCAGCTGCGGGAAAAGAAAACGGTAACTAACACTACCGTGCACACGGGACAAAGAGCATCTGTCTACAGTGTCCAAGACATCTGGTGCACGCGACAATGCCGTGAGGGAGACTTTGCGATGGTGCCTATCTGACCCATGAGTAAACTGAGGCTGAGAAACGCTAAGAAAGTAGCTGACAGAGCCTGACTCAAACCCAGGTCTTCTGACTTGATAGTCCCTATGTCACGCTGCTTCTCCACGGAGGAGTGTGTGTGCAAGTGCGAGTGTGTAAAAAGGCTGCTGCTGGGCCACAGACCCATACAGGCTGGAGAGCGAGGTGGCCAGCAGGGAACACAGGCCACATCCTGCAGACCCCTGGTCTCAGGGAGCAACGGTGAACAGTCGCCGGAACACGAGCCCCAGCGGCCCCTCTGCCAGCATCATGGGAGCTCAAATGCTCCCTCTTATAACTGCTGGCTCCATTGCGGGCTTCCCACGGCATGTGCTGCCGCCCGTCCACTGCGGGACCCCATGCCCAGACGGCGCTTGGCTCTGAGAAGGTGCTCCGGGCAGGGGTGCTAGATGCTGCTGATGAAATGGGAACAGTGCTTGAGGGAGGCTTGTCCCGTCACCCCACATGGGATGGCCAGAGGAAGGCGGCTGCAGACTGTCGAGATCCTGGTGTGGGCATTGGATGGGGGTGACAGAGAGAGAGAGACGGAAGCAAAGAGATGAAGAATAAAGTCGGGCAGGTTGACAGAAAGGTGCTGGGTGAACAGCAGGAGGCTCGGGGTTGGAGAAGGGCTGGTGGCCAGTGGGCTGCCCCGTGCAGGCCTCTCTTCTCTTCTCTCCCATTTGTACCCTCTCCCCTTCTCATTCTTAAGATGCCCGCGGGGGCTTTTCGTTCCCAGGCCCAGTGACAGGCGGGAGAGCCGTCAGGCCGAAAGGAGAGGCTGGACGGAGCCTGGCCCGGGAAGCTCCCTCCCCGCATCGCCTGCCAACGCCTGGGCTGTGATGTGAACTTGCCGCCCTGCCAGCTGGGGCTGGGGAGGGCCGAGCCCGTCCTGGGGCTGGGGTTCCTGGCCATCAGTGGGATGGAGACCTGTTCCCAGTAAACAGTGACAGCTGCACCACAGGAAACCTTGTTTGGAACCCCCCACCCTCAGCAGGCTGTGCCTGGGCATTCCAGAAATCAGCCTGAACAAATTTCTTTAGAATGGTATGTTGTTGCCAAGTAAAAAGGAGTCCCAGATACATCCCAGAGCCAGACTGAAATACACTAATTGGTGCGGTCACTTAATGGTTTGGTCAACAGCCCCTTCCAGGAATGTGAGTAATTGAAAATTATAGAATAATAATGTGGAAACAGCTTTGGCAGCACGGATGTGGTGGGGTTTGTAATCAGGAGACCGGTCCTAGGCCCACCTCTGCCACTTCCCAGCAGTGTGGCTTGGGGCAAGCCACTTACACTCAGCCCCTCTGAGCCTCAGTTTCCTCCTGTAAAGTGAAGACAGTAAGCTCTGCCTCGTGAGGCTGCCTTGAGGGGTGAGTGTGACGTTACAATGCGCACTCACTGGGCTCTTCCCCTGGCACCTGCAGAACGCCCTCCCCGATGCTCACCCCCTCCCTGCTGGCCCCAGGCTCCCCCAAAGATCACTGCCAGGCCCAGAGAAGTGCGCTCAGCAGAAAGGGTCCTGGATTCCCCCAGGCGCTGCCTCTGTGCCTGCTGCAGGGCCCACGGGGCGACCCCGGGTGGCTGGTCCAGGAACTGCTAGCGAGGCAACAAGGACCCAAGAGTCCTCTCCTTCATTTTACAGAGCAGGAGACGGGCCAGAGCGGGGAAGAGCAGAGTACTGCCGAGCCAGCTTTCTGATGCCCAATCCAGGCAAAGGCCATTGGAGTGAACGTCCTTCCCCTGGTCTTGGGTTCAGAGGTTAATTCAGGCCAGTGAGAGGAAGAGCCCCACGCCCTCAAGGCACGCAGAGACCCAGGAACGGTCTAGGCCGTCTAGGGATCCCTTCCTCAGGAAGCCTGAGAATGTCGAGTTACTCATTAATGGCTCCACACGGAAGGTGCGAATGCGGAGGGAGAGCAGGGAGCCAGGTCCTGCCCCAGCCTGGCACAGGCTCTGCTAGAGGGGCCTGCCCGGCCAGTTTGCTGTGTGACCTTGAGCACACGGCCCCTGGCAGCCCCGTGCTCTGCCATACCCAGAGGGCACACGTGATTACCTTGACCTGGCCTTGCGGTGGGCGCTGGCCCTCCTGGGGCTGTGAGAGGAAAGGCTGCTTGGCTCCCAAACAGCGGAAGGGCTTCAGCAGTAAGGTGTCAGCCAGCCCGTCTGACCCTCCACTCCCCAAGGTGGGGAAGAACGCTGGTGAAGCCCAGCCCCAGGCCCCCAGTGTGACTGACCCCAGGGCAGGCACTGACCCCAGGGCAGACACTGCCAGTCTGCTGACACTCTTGCTTCAGGGATCCTCCTGTCCACCCTGGAAGATCTCCTTCTTTGAAGGACCATGGCAGAGGGCCACAGCGCAGAACCGAGGGAGACCAAGGGGCATCCCCAGCCCTTCTCCACCCTAAAGGGGCAGGCAGCCCCGGAGAGCAGTAGGGGCCTAGGACAAGAAACCAGGAGACAAGGTACCCCCTGGCAGCTAGGGCAGGCTGGAGACTGCAGCACAAGCCAGGGAGAAAGGGAAGGGAAATACGGCTGAATAATATTCCATCGTGTGGATATACCACATTTTGTTTGCCCATCCACCCAATGATGGACATTTGGGTTGCTTCCATTTTTTGGCTACGAGGAATAATGCTGCTATGAACATTCATGTGTAAGTTTTTGTGTGGATACATTTTCAGTTCTTTGAGATATGCGCCTAGGAGTGGAATTGCTGCAGGGTCATATGGTAACTCTGTGATGAGAAGGGTTTTTAAACCAATGACCATGCCTGGTGCCAGCCCCCTGGTGGGCTTTCGGCCCAGGTTTGTTGCATGCTGAAAGGTGGAGAGGCTGCAGGAGGGAGAGGCAGAGGCTTTCCAGACAGAAGACTAACCAGGGCCCAGCTCAGAGGAAGGAGCTGGCTTTTGCACTGTGTTCCAGGGATGCAGAGGGCCAGCATCTTGGGAAATCCTGCATGGAAGACTGGGTTTCATGCAAGGGGCAGGAGGGAGTCAGAGCTGAGTTTTGGGCAAGGCAGGACTTGCAGGAATTCAAGAAAAAAATAAAGGTAGAGAAGGAGATAGTGAATAGGGAAAAAAGAGGAAGAAGTCAACAAGTCTTTAATTAAGAGGGTGCAGGCAAGGGAGAGGACAAGGGGAGACTGGGAGAAGGCTGGGGAGCCTCTGGAAGCCATTTATCTACCTGACACCTTTGAGACAAAGGGGTCTACCCAGGGTGGTTAGACAGGTCCCCAAGAAACCAGAAAGAAACCCGAGGCTCTTGTCTAAACACCTCCTCCTCCTTCCTGTTTGACAAAGCACATACCTAGACACCCTGCCAACCAGGTGGCTTCGTGTTCTTCTCTTCTCTGAATGGTTTCCTGCTCACAATAAGCAAGACTTTCCCAAGGAAGGTCTAGTCCAGATTCTTCGGGCTGTAACTGCACCCCTTTCTTTCTAGGCCTGCATGTGGCAGCCTCGTTCAAGATCTCTGTCTATGCTAGAAGCCAGAGAAAGCGAGAGCGAGAGCACGAGCTGGTCCTGCCCTGAGCAGAGGGCTCCTGTCCTCCCCTGCACCCACTCTAACAGCCAAGGCCCTCCACACACAGTCCTTCTAATGCACAACGCCGGCAGCCAGGGCCAAGCAGTAGGCAGGACTTGAGCAGGAACCCTAGAGAAAGAGGCACTGCCTCGACTCTCCGCCCCCACGCGCCGTCCCTGCGCGCTCTCCCCGTCCCCCGCAGCAGCTGGCCCTTGGTCTGTTAAACCAATCCCCTCCAGTCCCAGCCAGCAGTAATCACTTCCACGGAAAAGCACTGGCAGGGGTATTAGCATTTTAACTGAGACGTGGAGAGGAGAGGCCCCGAGCAGCTTTAGAGGCTGGTTTGGGGGAGGCGGGGCGGCCTGTTTGTTCTGTTTGTTGTGGGGGATGGGGGCTGTGATGGGCTGCCCAGCCCTGGCTAGGTGGTGACTCTCATCTGCACACAGGCCACCCCCGTGACATCCCTGCATTGCCACTGAAGTCTGCTTTGCTCTTAGCCAAAGGAAAGGGCTCTTGATGACATCTTGTCTTGGGGGTAAGAGGACTGAGGTTCAGAATTTAAACCTGAAACACTGACAGGCCCGCCCCCCCCCCCCCCCCCCCCACCTCTCAGATCCTAGCTGGACGCTCCAGAGGCCCACAGCTTCCTCCCCAGGAGTAGCAGCTCAGGAATACGCAGCCCGTGAGTATTCATAGGGATCCTCATGCCGTGTGGGTGCCTGGCGAGTATAGTGCATAACTTGTATCCTGCAGAGTTGAAGCTGACTGCTCATAAAGCAAGAGGCATTGCCAAAGTATCTGGTTCTAGCGGCATATGCCTGGATTCAAATCCTGACTAGGCCTCTTAACAGCTATGTGACTTGGGGCAAATTTCTGAACCTCTCTGTGCCTCAGCTTTCTTATGCATAAAATGGAGATAACAGTACTCCTCTACAGGGTTGTTGTAAAGATTAAATGAGTTGATACACGTGAGGTACTAAGAACAGGGCCTGGCACTAAGTGCTCAATATTATTGTTACCATTATCACTTTCTTTTCTGTGAGCTGGTTTCCTGCTAAAAGACCCTTTCCACTGCCTGCCCAGAGCCCCCGAGGAGTGAGTAACCCTGAGAGAAGCACAAAGCAAAGGAGGAAGAGATGGCCCAGCTGGAGGGGATCTCTGCTGCCTTCACAAAACCTGGCACGCCAACCTGCCATTTAGAATTACCCTCATCCCCTTCCTGTTCTTTGCACTACACATGTTCCTAAGAAGTTCCAGGTAAGGGAGCTTCTGCAAGTCACAGCACTTAAAAAAAAAACAAACAGAAAACACCCTGATAGGCTTCTAATTGAACCACTAGGCAGAATCAGAAGGGACCTTGAGCTGCTTCGTAAGATGTCCTGCGTCTCACATGCATCCAGTCCTGTACAAAACCCACAGAAACACCAGCATACACAAGGAGACTTGCTTCTTAAGGGAATTTTTCAGTGTACAAGAGGATTTTGGCCATGGGGATAATCACTCCCTAACGGATGACGTTTTGTCAGTTGGGTGGCTGTGTCTCTGTGACACCTGTACTCCTCTCTCATCTCTGGAAGTGACATGGACAGGAAAACCCACCCTCATGGACACCTCTAGGAGTGAGTCAAAGGGCAAGAGCCCTAGGCCCAGATGGCCCCCTGAGGTTTCCCGGGGATAGCCCAAGCGTTCCCAGGCCATCTGCTTGCTTGCGTCCATGCAATCCAGGAAACCCCCCAGCCAGGAGCTGGGGCTAGGGAAGTCTCTCGCAGCCTATGGCTTGCAAATCTTCTCTGCTCTGCTTTGGGTCTGTTTTCCCAGCTGCACTAGGAAAATGAATATTGCTGGCTTTCCAAAGGACTCCAAGGACGTGGCCCTGTTCAGTTCGAGCAAGAGAATCAGGCTCTGCAATGGTATCCAAAACGGTATCTCTGGGGCATGGCAGGCAAAGTCCAGAGCCCGGCCCTTGGGCAGAGGCCAGGGAGGAGTAACATGGTGGGGAGTGGAGGGGGACCCCTGCACCAAGGATGGAAGCGCCCTTACCAAGCTTTGGGTGAAACACCTGTGCCTGCCCCCATGGCCCTAGCGGGGGAGGTCCTGTATGTCTGCCTCCAGGGACCAATACAGGAACCCTGGCCCCCTCAGGAGCAGGACCACGCAGGACCCTCCAGCCCCGTGGCCACCGGGAAAGGGAAGGGACAGCCTGTGTCGGCTGGGCTGGAGCTGACAATTAAGTGGAGCGCGCCCCAGGGCGCTCGTCAAGCCGCAGCAAGCTCTGGCACCTAGAGTGGCCCCTGAGGCTACACTCCCACTTTCCTGCCCCCACCCCCTTCCAACTCCGCTCCGGCAGCAGGGGCTACGGACACACCTTGGACCTCCCACCTGGGCAGACTCCACCACTCCGCTCCCCAGGGGTGTGGGTGGGGGGAACAGGCGTGAGACACGGTGTACCCCTCACAGGGGTGAGCGAAGGCAAGTAAATAATCCAGAAGTCACCTTGAGTCCCTGGAGAGAGTTTTCCGGGGAGAGCTGGGGTGGGGGAGGAGGCAGCCCTTCGGCTCAGGCGGCGCGGCTGGCGGAGCCGGGAGGGGTGGTCGCCGCTGCCAGGAGGCGGGGGCAGCGCCGAGGGCGGCGGGAAGGGAAGGGAAGGGAAGGGAGGTTGGGGGGTGGGCGCGGAGTGCGGGCGGCAGCGGGGCGCGGGCGCGGGCTGGCACTCACGTCCTCTTGCAGACGCCCCCGAGGGCGCTGCCCAGCAGGAGGCAGAGCTGCTGCGAGAAGAATACCCAGGAGATCTGGGGCAGCGAGCTGTGCGTCTGGCAGCGCAGGTCCAGCAGCGTGGGCCCCAGGAAGGCGATGCACAGGCCGAAGCTGAAGAAGACGCTCCAGTAGGTGAGCGTGGGCTGCAGGTTGCGGCGGAGCAGCCCCGACACGCGCCCGTCGCAGCCCATGGCCCCGCTGGCGGGCTCCCGGCTGCTGGCCCGAGCGCGCGGTGCCCAAGTGCCGCGCCGCCCGCGGAGGGCCGCTCGGGCCCGGGAGGCCGGCGGCCGGCGGGAGGGGCGGGGAGGGGCCGCCCCGCGAGGGCCCCGCCCTCGGGCCCAGGGAGCGGCGGGGCGCCTGTGCGGCCCCGCGGGCTCCGCGTCGGGGCCCGCGCCTTCCGCGTGCGGCGCCGGGCGCAGGCCTCCCCCTCCTTCCCGAACACACAGGCTCCCCTCCTCCGGCAGCGGGAGAGCGCCCAGGAGCCACTCCTCACTCCCACCCCCTCTCCCGCCCAGCTCCCCTCCCACCAGCCTCCTTATGCAGCCCGGAGGGTCGGAGGGGCCTGCGTGCCCATTTTAGAGCTGGGCAACCTGAGAGCTCGAGACGTCCTGTATGGACGCAGAGACTGGAGCTGGGATCTTCCGGCGCCTCGCCTAGGCTGGGGAGAGCTACAAGCCCGCCCCAGACAGCAGCCTGGCCTGGGCTCTGGCGGTGGAGGAAAGCACCAGCTCTCCCCCCTTAACCCTGGGGGCTTCACAGATGGACTCCGAGGGTCTGACAGTGCCCCCATCTTCCCCCGGAACAGAAGGCAAATCTCCTACATACTTTCTTTTTTCTTGGGAGGGTATTCATGGCTTTCATTAGAAGCTCAAAAGGGTAAGCACAGTGCCCTTTAAACGGAAAACCCTAGAAGCTTCCCGTCTTCTTCACCCTAAGCTCCTCCGCGGAGGTCCTGAGAGCCGGTCTTCACCTGCCGCATCTCACCTGCGCAGTGGACAAGTGCGGAAAGGAGGAGGATGTAGATGTCCTGTCCACACTCCTGCTCTCTCCTTCTTCCTAGTTGGGGGAGGGGAGGAGAAGAGAGGGGGCAGGAAGGGAAGGATGGCCACCTGGAGGAATCTCAGAAGGAATTCGGACACAATCTTCTAGGAAAAAAGAGTTATGGGGAAAATTACCTTTTTGCTGGAAAAACAGATGGGAGTGGGGTGGGATGGGAGGGTGTTAGCCTCCAGTCCGGGAGTCCTTGGAGGAGCCTGCAGCTGACACAGGCTGTCCACCCCCCAGGTGGCCAGGGGGCTGGTGGGTCCTGCTCCTGAGGGAGCCAAGATGTGGCTCCTGCACTGGCCCCTGGAGGCAGAGCAGTAAGGCCCTACAGTGTCACCTCTGCCCAGGTGTTCTAGGAGCCGTGACATGACCACTTGCACCAAGGGGACCAGGGCTGAAAGGGCTGAGGAGGTGGGTGGGTGGGTGGGTGCCCCCATGACAACTTGGAATGAGGTGGGGGCAGCCACTTTCTCTTGCAGGCACTGCTCTCGTCTCACAGTGGCACCCAGCATCTGCTCCACCCCCCTAGACTGAGCCCCAGCATCCCTCTGGCTCAGTCAGTTTGTAGGTGATGACAATTGCTTATTCAGTGGTGATAATGGTGGGCCTGCACAGGATTTGTGATTGAATAAAAAGTTATCCTCTGGGGGGAAAAATCAGAGAGTCCTCTCTGCCACTCACAGAATTCCAGAAGCATAAGCGCTCAGAGTTGGAAGGAGTAATCTCCAGCGGAGTTCCCCAGCCTCGCCCCATCGTTACTGATCAAAGCTTGTCAGTCCTGTTCTTGACTGATACCTCTTACTGATGGGGACCTTACTTATTTCCCGAGGGTCCAGTGCCGGTGTATGTCGGCTCTGGTTTGTAGGAAGGGTTTTATGCTGAGCTGGAATGCTCCTGCCTGTGGCTCCCCACTGCCACCCACAGGACAAGGCTCCCTGCACGTTGGTCCTTCCCACACAGAACCCCTCGCCCTGGCGCTTGGCTTCTCCAGCCCAACACCTGAAATTCTTTCATAAGTGCCTTAGAAGGGGCCCCCCATCTACATCATTCTCCTGGTTCAGCTCCTCTGGCCACAGAGGCAGTGAACCTGGTACCGTGAGGCAGCCCGCAGAGCCTGAGGTGTTAGAAGCACTCATTCGGAAGCTTGATCTGGCTGGTGGTTACACAGATACGAATGTGTAAATATTCATTGGGCTGTACATTTATGATTTTTGCCTTTTCATGTATGTAAGTTATACTTCAATAAAATAATAAAAAGTAAAAATGAGTACATAAACAAAAGCAAAGTGAGACACCCCACCATGAAGGCAATACCCAGCCCGCTTGTAGTCAGAGGCCTTCCTCCCTTGCTGGGCTGCAGGGCCCTTGAGCTGAGACAGCGGATAAAGAAACAAGCACCACAGCATGGTACATTTGGCCATGGGTGCTCCGAGAGCCTGGAGGGGCGAGTGGCTACTTTTGGCAGGGAAGGCTTCATGGGAGAAGCGGTGACTCAACTGGGTCTGGAAGGATGAGTGTGTGGAGAGGTTTGGCTTTTTCTCTCTCTTCTCTTTCTCCAGCTCCTCTATTTTCCAGCATCGTCACATTATGCACTCCTCCAGGAATCTCTCCCAGAAAAATTCTATCCAACCCCCAAATTCCAGCAAGCACCTAATCCACTCCTTGCCCCCCACAGGCTTCACAGTGTCAGCTGTTATATTCCACGGACTGTTAGCTTCCTCTTCCTGCCACCCTGCCTCCCCTGCGGCCAGTGAAACTGTGGGTTCTATATTTACCTGTATTTCTGACTCTCCCTGCCCCTCCCAGGTGCCTTGAGGAACGCCTTGCACACAGCAGGTCCTGGAGGAATGGCCGGGGAACTGAATTATTTGTACAACATCTTTACAATTATTTTTGGGTTTTCGTTGACATATCTTATCTTCAAGTGATAACAAGTTCCTCAAGGGCAGAGGCTGTCTTTTATTTCCATCTTGCTGTATTCAAATGTCTAGCCCTAGATGGGCTGTCTGTGGTCATTCTTAAATTTGAAAGACAAAACCTTAGCTGGTCCCTTAGCCACTCTCTGATTTCCTTCCTTGTAAATTAGAAGGGAATTATGCCTGTCCCTCACAAGCTTTGGAAAGAAGTTTGAGACCCTCAAATATGGAACGACTGAATAGGTTGGCAGAAACCTTCTGTAGGAGTGGAGAGTTCTCAGGCTCTTGCCCTGAAATCTATTCATCTGCCTCAAGGGTCTCTTCCTCCAGGAAGATTTCTCTGACTTTCCCAGGATCCCTCCTTGGGGCTCCCAATCTAAACCATTGCTAATGATCTGTTTACTGCTGCTCTTCCAAGGCAAGGGCCATGGGGTTCGTTCTTCCCTGAGTGCCAGGATTGACTCCTTGGTGAGAGGTTTTTGACTGCACTGACTCCCGCTTACACCAGGAAGTTGATGAGGAATAAGTCAGCTGTGTGTCTTGGGCCATCCGTAGGTGAGCTCCATCCTGCAAATACTCAAGGAGAAAGCAGACGAGATAATATAACACGGAGTGAGATGAGAGCTAGGTACCCTCACCACGATCCTCTTACCTGCGCAGCTGCCCAAATTCCTTACCCATCATGTATATTTTACCCATCATGTATATTTTATTTTTCTTACTGTTTCTTACTATTAGAATTGAAAACCTTGGGGCTGGCCCTGTGGCCGAGTGGTTAAGTTCGCACGCTGCGCTGCAGGCGGCCCAGTGTTTTGTTGGTTCGAATCCTGGGCGCGGACACGGCACTGCTCATCAAATCATGCTGAGGCAGCGTCCCACATGCCACAACTAGAAGGACCCACAACGAAGAATATACAACTATGTACCGGGGGGCTTTGGGGAGAAAAAGGAAAAAAATAAAATCTTAAAAAAAAAAAAAGAGCTTCCTCACTTAAAAAAAAAAATTGAAAACCTTTAATATATGTATTTTTTAAATGTACAAAGAGGAAAGCTCTGATTATCGCAGCCTAGCGGGGAGTCCCTGGGATTGGGCCTGATTTCATGCTTGGCAGGACCCTCTGCCCTTGGTCCGTGGGGCCCTCCGGTCTCTGCTCCCCAGCCTCTCAGGAGGCCAGGCAGGAGCAGTAGGGTGAAGTCTCCAGTTCCAGGTTGTTAAGCACATCCTACAGCTTCTCTGGCCATTCTGGGGCCTGAGGCCACCCCCCACCTCTCTGTATTTTGTCTTCGCGGCCTCCATATCAGTGCCTTGCTGGCCAGAGTGAGTGGAGTGGATTGAAAGGTGCTATCTAGGGTTGGCATGGGGCGGGTGGCAGACAGCTTGGTGCCAAGGATTGCACTCGGCTGATGCAGCCACCCTACCCAACGTGAATGCAAACAGCAGAGATGGGGTGTGCATGAAGACCCTCCTTCACGAAACATCCGGATGGACTGACTTCTCAGCCTGCGTGGAGGGTGAGTGGGGTGGTCACTGCAGGTGCCAAGAGGGACAGGAGCAGCTGAGACGGCCCAGAAGCAGCTTAGAGTTAGACCAGAGGCCACATGCATGCTGGAGGGATGTTGCTTAGTACCTGACATTTAGTTGGTATTGAGTATGTGCTAGTGCTTAAAAGTGCGAGTTGAAGCTAGCCTAACTTTGATGAGAGCTGGAAGGACTCTGAAATTATCTAGCACAGCCTCCCGCTCAGAAACAGAATTTTGTTTACAGCATCCCTGCAGGTCGCTCCTCAGCCTCAGCCTCAGCATGCCCAGGCTTAGGGTCACAGGGATCTCCTCCAAGCTGTGAGACCTGTGAGAAACTGAGCCTCAGTTGTCTCCTCTCTAAACTGGGAGAATAATACCTCCCTCACTGTGAGAAAATGTAGACAGAGTACGTAACACAGGAGCTGGTACACTAGGTTCTCAATAAATTCCCCTCCCCCTTCACACAAACTACTCTCCTGGTTTCGTACACGAGAACAGTGGCTGACAGTGTGTCCTTGGGCCAGCAGCGTCAGCATGTCCTGGGGACTTGTTCAAAATGCAGATTCTCAGTCCTGCCCAGACCTGCTGAATCAGAAGCTGGGCAGGGCTGGGGGGTGAGGGGTCAGTAATCTGTTGTGTAAGCCTCCAGGGGATTCAGATGCAGCCACAGGTCGAGAATCACGGCTCTAGAGCCACAGAGGAGAAGCCTCATTCCCGTTTTGCAGAGAGCCATTCTCTCTGTGTCTTTGAAGACATCCTGCATGTTGTTCCTAAATTTTATTGTTCCCAAGAATATCCTCTCAACTTC